GTGAATGGGTTAAACACTACTTGGATGAAAGCATTTTTTGGAATAAAATCTTTATGAATGTTTATTCTTTTACATTCCAAAAAAAGTTTACTAGTTACAATGAAAAAATGGGAAGGGTATTCCATTTTATTCCATACCATTTCATATTATTCCAGATTTTTTTTTAAATTTCATTTGTAAAATCATGCCAAATATATTTTTTTTTTTTGGAACAAGTGAAATGCCGATTCCATTTAATTAAATTTCATAAATAATAATTCCTATCATTTCATATACTCCATTTATTTGTCACCAGTTCTTTTCTCCAAACCTAGCTGTTATTGCAACAAACCAAAATGGAAAAGAGAAAAGACAGAAAAGAAAACAATAAACGATAGTGTTAGAAGCTGACCTTGCTTGGAATGCGGCGGCCGTGAAACACCGAGCCTTGGGGCATGGACTCGTTGTAAGACGGATCGGTGTGAATATAGATGGTGAAAAGATCCCTATACCCTCGAAAGAACCTTTCCCATAGAGGAGCCAGAGGTAAAGGTCCCCTTGTCAAGAACATGAAAGCAACCTTCGGGGTTCGAGAGAAAGGGTAACTCCTGATCTTGGGATCCATTGAAGCTTTCCAAAAGAGCTCGTTGTCTTCCATACTGTGCATGATATTCTTCGGTGGCCTCATGAGCATTTCGAGCTCGTGGTTCTGAGGCAAAGGAGAAGGAGAAGTAGGGGTAGGAGGAGATGTAACGAAGACGAGTTGGGATACACTTTGAACGGTTGGATAATAAGGCAGAAAGGATGTTTCTAAAGAAGAATGAACAATGATTCCAACTACCACGCCCACGCAGAGGAGGAAAAAATAGAATAGGAGATCGAGGAAATGGTGGAGCAATAGATTGAGAAGCTTTATTACTAGAAATAATGACAATGATGATGTGTTTCGGTTCTTTTGTGTGGGCATCTCCGACTAAGTAATACATGCATAAGAGATTTTTTTTTTTTTTTTTAATTTAAAGAGGTTAGGAGTGGATGGATGGATCTTAACTTTTAGTTGGAATGAGGTGAAGAAGTGGAGATGAGCAAGTAAAACTAAAGATCTTTGTGGCATGAATGATTATGACATAAACAAAAATTACACACAAAATGGAGTAAGTTTTTAGGTATTTGTGAATAACCAAGCAAATTTCAACTGTAATCTCCACAGCATTTTAATATTCACAGTTTCACCAAAATCTTGAAGCTACTGTTAGTTAGGATATCTTCATATCCGATCTTTATAGGATAAGTTTTTTTTTTTCTGGTCGGAATCTTTATAGGATAAATATATTACTTGTCTAATTACGATAAGCATCAATAGATATTAGTCTCTTACGTTCAATGGAAATATGATCAATTCTCTAGCACTTGCGCATGTTACTAGAGCTCATAAACCTATCTAATAAAATTTTTACTACATTGATCTGTACTCTTATAATTTAGTCTAAAATCGGTTTGTACTCTAAGACCCGATAATAATAGTCTACAAAATTATTGAAATGACGTAAATATTAATGAGCCATAAGCTTAATCTAAAAATATATAATAATATAATATCTCACATCGAAAGTTTTAATGAGACATAGTTAATATTATAAAAGATTTGAGCTAATTTTTATATCATCTGGTTTTAAATTGGACGCTCAGAACATTTAACATGATATGATATGAAAATATTCTAATTAACAGCTACTTATATAAATAAACTCACGCAACGAAGTTCTAAAGTACATCAAAGTTCTAAAATTATTCAATCTTTGCATTTTTCATTTCGTCTTCCCAAACCATCTTTCGTTGCTATAAGCAGATATGTATTTTCAATTGTGATTTGAATGTTTTACTTGTAGTTTCGATATAGTTGTTCAATTTCTTTTCATTTTTGTAACTAACAGTTATTATTTAAATTTATTGCTTTTACGTGTCCTCTATGTACATGATTGATTGCTTTCTTTCTTCTTTGGTCATACATAAGATACTATGATTGATGTATATGTATTCAATAATCTTTCCCGAAGATATTATTTTCTGGTAATCGTCAACAACACATTCTTAAAATGTCCAAGTTTAATTTGTTTGGCGATTGCAATTGTATAAATAAAAATGAGACTGTAATCTATTTTAGACAAATGGAAGTTAGCAGTACATATAAGTTAATCCTGAATTGGGATTGCTTATAGATATTGAAAGTGAGTTCTTGACAATGGTGAAAGTGACTTGGGCCATAAAAGCAGGATTGTTCTGACTGGTATTAACAAACAACTAAATTTTAAAGTTTATAGTCTAAAGATGTGAATTTCATTTACCCGACTTTTATAGTACGCAATTCATAGACGTGATACCAACTCTCTTTTTTTTGGCATCAATACCAACTCTTATAAAGTTCTTTCAATATGATTATTGAGAGGTTTTTAGGTAGGGTTCTTAGTTTTGTTTAAGATACATTTTTTAGTTTTTAATTAAAAAAATTGAGGACTGATTCATCAATAAGAGATATAAGAAATGACTCTTATCTAAAAAGTGTAAAAAACAAAAAAAAAACATCAAATCATGAAGTAAGAATTCATTCTAGAACAGTAAATCAAGAGATTACTTGAAGAAACGATCTTCTGGTTTTAATATAAAAATGAAGGTAGAAATACTGTTTGCTTTTTCAAATGAAGATGAATTAAACAGTTTAGCTTGGAAATTACCTATAACTTTAGTCTCATGTAACTCACATTTACATATAAGTTATTTCACATGGTTACGTGTTAAGTGACTTAAGTCTAACATACGAAAATGTAGACATTAGAACCATGTGGATGAAAATCTATTTTTCAAAGCGAATGAGCCTTGCCGGATCAAATTATTTAAACAAGAATAATTATTTTAAAAATCTGTATACCAGTATATCTAGATAAAAAAAAGAATTACCATCATGGGAGGATAAAAACTTATATTGGGCATCAATAACATATAATCATTAATATTAAATTGACATGATTAAAAGATTAAGTAAATAAACTTTTCACCCTTTGTATGTTTTACCCCAAAAGAAACACAATTATAAATAGTATTTTTGCTGTCCAATATAATTAATTACATATATTAGAAATTTAAAATATAAATTATTTTGTAGTTAGAACAATTTTATAGGATAAAAATTATAATAAACACACCACCTAAATGTACATTCATACCGACAACACACAAATTGAACTCTTATTTTTCCATTTAGGTATGAGGCCATCCGATAAAATTGGAAAGATATAAAGAAAATTAGCATGGGTTTTATGCATGGATGACACACGCACATAAATAAAAAGTGGTCCAATCTTTGACAAAAAAAAAAATTGAACTCTAAAATTTGAAAAAACTACAAGATTATTTACTAGTTACTAATTTTACAAACATTTAATAAATCTATGTATTAGTAGATATCTACATATGGACTATAATTAATGTAAGTATTAGTATTTATATATAAAATAGGATTTATCACTTGCTAAAAGTTACGATGAAATCAGAAAATAGGAGTAGAGGGAAGAACATACTTTTTTTTTTGCAAAGACATAATATTGTTTTTAAAAGGAATAACGAAAATGCAGGCAGTCACTAAATGGATAAAACATGTAGGAAAAATCATAGAGGGAAAAACGTGGGAAAAAGGGGTAAAAATACTTCTCTTGAGATTTAGATGGTCAAATTTATTTGTAAAGTTGGTGCACATTGTTTGAAGATGTAGGGCGAAGAAACGATAACTATGCAACACGTGCATCGTTCCCGGAAGTCATGAAGTATTTTCATACCGTTTAGCTATGTATATAATAGGACTAATGTATATAATATACAAGTCAGTTGAAAATCGTCAGATTAGACGAAGGAAAGATGAGTAACAAAGACAAAATGTTTGTGATTCTAGTTGATATGCGAATAAACTTCCCCGATAATAAGCTATTTAATTGTTCTTCACAAATCCGGAGCATTCAGGTACCAAATTCTTACATTGGGCACATTGAGTATCCTAGTAACTTATATCTTTATTAAATTATTAGCCAATTCGAATTAAACCACCATTTATTCACCCGTTAAAAGCCTGCCAAAAACAATTTCTAACAGATCCTTCAGTTTTTTTTTGGTTGTTGAAAAAACATTCTACAGTTAGTAGTTAGTATTTACTATTTACACTTTAAAAGTATGACAGTAAGCTTTCGTCAAAAAAAAAGTATGACAGTAAGCAAATATCAATAAAGAATCGTCCAAGAAAATTAATACTATTAAAATTATACATATTTAATAAAACTAAAAATGAGATTTCTCAGATTTATTTTCATCTAAAATTAAGATTTTATATGAAACAGTGATTAGAATTTGTTTTTAAATTCAAAATTACAACTAATTTAAAATAATACATTTAAAATTACATTTTATATGAAATAGTGATTATGATTTTTCTTAAAATCAAATTAACTAAAAAAATCAACTAATTTAAAATAATATACACAAATTTAAATAAACTTGTATTAAATTTAAAATACATAATATTGTAAAATTTTAGTTTTTACTATATAAATTTTTGTAAAGAAAAATAATTTACCTTTATGAAAATGTGGATCAAATTCTAATATCAATTATTTCGCTGAATATATTGCTAATTATTCTATTAATTAGGTAATTTAATATTACGATGATACCATGCCATATAACCACCCGTTAAAGATCTGCCGAAATCAGTGTCTAACAGATTCTTCCCTTACTAGTTAATATCTATAGTATATGAAATCTTTATTTTTGGAAGCAAATTTCATATTTTCAACCGATAAATTTTCTATCTTGACAAATACAGTACACGAAATACACAACAAAGAATAATATAAATAGAATTCTCCACTTGTAAAAGCGGTCACGTATCTCTTGTCCTTAAAGCAAAGAACTTGTCTCTTCTTCTCCATTCAAACTTTGGAGATCTCTTCACTGCTATTTTAAACAACAACATAAACAAAATTCACTGTTTCTCTCTCTCTCGATGAAGAACCAAAAAGAGCAAAAAAACTCATCATTGTCTTCTTCATCACCATCTCTAGTAGCAAAGCTTCTCAATGCTCAACACCAACATTTCCTTAATCTCCTTTCTTATTCCCTAATTCTATGTTGCGGCATAATCATCGGTATCCTTCTCCATTCCTCTCTAAATGACATATCTTCAACATCTTCACCCAACATCCAACGCATCTCAGAGCTCTTACTCGTCTCCTCTATTCCTTCTTCTCCTCCTCCTCCTACTCCTACTCCTCCTCCTCCTTATGAGCCACGGCACATTGGGTTAGAACAGTTTCTGAGGCCCCCGGAGAAGGTCATGCACGACATGGAAGACGAAGAGCTTCTTTGGAGAGCTTCAATGAGCCCTAAGATCAAGAATTATCCTTTCCCTAGAACACCAAAGGTTGCTTTCATGTTCATGACAAAAGGTCATTTACCTCTTGCTCCGTTATGGGAGAGATTCTTTCGAGGGCACGAGGGTTTGTTCAATATTTACGTTCACTCCTATCCTTCTTATAACCAGACAGATCCTGAAGGTTCCGTCTTCTATGGCCGGCATATTCCAAGCAAGGTCAGCTTCCTTACACACTTTGATTTATATTTTTTTGTCTTCTGATTTTCATTTTTAAGTGAAATTACGTTTGGACAAAAAAAAACGTATTAAATGCTTATCAAATCACCAAAATGACATTAGTTTCAAAATGATAGTAAGCTGTCAAATTGATATCACAAAGGTAAGAATAGATATCAAACTGATATCAAAATTCTGGAAATTAAATGAATAACCAAAAATATTACACTCTAAGTATGAAAAAAACTGTGTGCGCGCTCTTATAAAAAATAAACAAAAATATAATACTGAAGATGTCAAAATTCATAAGAGTTTGTGAAGGGAATGTAGATTATCTTGCATAACACGGTTACTTTTGTTGAATAAATTAATATACCTTTATCAAGCAGTTGTTTATGGTCCGTCGTCGGTGCCAGTGGCATCATATCTTATATAATACTATACATTGCATGGTTTTCTTTTTGTTTTATTTGGGGGTCAATTATTGCATGGTTTCTAACTTCCTTCATTAGTGAACTTAAACGTTTTTTCCAGGCATAAAAGAAGAGGGGTCTTATTATTAGTCTTAATCTAAACTTAGTTGGCACAAACGTATCTGTCTTAAATGAAAACTAGATCCCAATTAATTTTTTCCATAACTTTCTCAAATTTAAGATTCATCAATCTTCTCTTTTTTTTTGGTAAAATCATCAATCTTCTCTTCTGTTATGATTCTGTTGAGGGAGACTAATGTGGCTCTTTTAGAAGGAAACATTGACAAAAAGGTGGTAAACAATTTAGAATTCGATACCAGCTCAACTCAATCAACAGCGACTCTTTTCTTTCTTGGTCCACTATTACACGCGGTCATTTGAATATTGAATTTTATTTTAGGGATCTACTTGGTCGGATATTTAGAAACTTCTGATACTTGAATCTGATGTATAGCTAAAATTGAATAGAATTCGTAAAAACTCGTGTCTAACTTTGATACTCGATCTAACTTTGACATATTGCACTTTATTAGATATCATTGCAATGTACTTGAGACATTATTTTGTCTGAAACATATAAGTAAAACTATCTATACTTAAGAAAGAAAAGAAAGAAAATATTAAGGCAGTATTAACCAAATAAATTGTTTTAAAATTAACCAAAAACATAAACTTTAGGTAGATGTTATTTAAAATAAACGCATTGTAGAAGAATCAAACTAAATGAAAAAAAATATATTTTTTTAAAAATAGAAATAAGATATAATACTGTAGTTACATGTAAATTATATGATATAAACAATTGTGTGTATATATGTTGCGTTTTTTTATATAACTTTGTTAATTACAATATGTTTAGTTCACTAATTTGTTTGTTTTAAAATAAAAAAAATAGCTGATTATTATTTCCCTTTTAGAGATTTAATTTGTTTTTTTTTGCTTTTATGCTAAAAGATTATTTAGTTAAAATTAAATAATATTATTAATAATATTTTTTGTTTTAGTAAATCTAATATGTATCAAATAAACTAATTTTTTTTTATAAAGAGCTAGCTACATATAGCACTTTCAATTACAAAATCAAAGAGTTCAAAACAAAAAGTTACTCAAACTAAATCAAAGTAGAGTAGATATGATTATGATATAGTAGCTAAAACTGTAAATTAAAAAAAAAAAGGACTGACATCAGAAGTGAATACCCCTAGAACACTCTAATTTAAATTTATACTTTTGTTTATGGACTTCTAATTCAAATCAATAGACCACAATAGATTAACTTATTTTTTGATAAATTTTATTATGTTTCATATGATTTTATAGGTCTTGCAACATAATTTTGAATTGTTTATTGATAATATGCAGAGAGTGGATTGGGGATGGGTGAATATGGTGGAAGCAGAACGTAGGTTACTAGCAAACGCATTATTAGACATCAACAACGAGCGTTTCCTTCTTCTCTCCGAATCATGCATCCCTCTCTTCAACTTCACCACCGTTTACTCTTACATCACTAAATCAACTCAAACTCACGTCGAGTCCTACGATCAACTCGGTGGCGTTGGACGTGGCCGGTACAGCTCTGAAATGAAGCCACGTATTAAGCTACGACACTGGCGCAAAGGCTCCCAGTGGTTCGAGCTGGACCGTGCCATGGCCCTCGAAATCATTTCCGACAAAATTTATTGGCCTCTCTTTTACCGTTATTGCCGCAACGGTTGCTACACAGACGAGCACTACATCCCTACACTCCTCAACATCAAACCGAAGCTTGGTCGTCGCAACTCGAACAGGACTCTCACGTGGGTCGACTGGTCGAAAGGTGGACCCCACCCAAACCGGTTTATCAGATACGAGGTGACGCAAGAGTTCTTGGCGAAGCTGAGGAGTGGCGGTGATGAGAATAAGCAGTGTTACCACAATGGAGAGAAAACGAATATTTGTTATTTATTTGCTCGCAAGTTCTTGTCCACTTCTCTCGGCAGGTTGCTCAGGCTTGCACCTACTGTTCTATATTTCTGATAGTTCTCTCTCATTTAAATATTTTTTTTTTTCAATTTGTCAACGTAATGTTGTATTCTTTTAATTCTTCTTTTCAGTTCATAAATGATCATTTATCCTACACTGAGAGAAAATCGTTTGCCCGATCCTATATAGAAATTAATCTAATCGCAAAACTGAGTAATATATATATCAACCGTCAATAAACTGAAATTTCATACTTACTAGAAACTCTATAAATTAATTTACGACAAGTTAATATTTAACAAATACTATTAAGTTAAAAATATTTCGTTCAAAATATGACACAAATAAAGTGTTTCCTTGAAAAATCTCATGTACATATATGATCTATTAATTTCATAGACCAATAAATAAATATGGAGGATTTAAAATACTAGTTTGGGAAAGTTTTCATTTTTATAGGGAAAATTATTTGAGATTGTGATCTATAAACTGAGATACAAAGAATTTTTTTGATAGATGAGTATTCTTTTAAAAATTTAGATAAATTTGTTGTATTTTCTAAATAAACTTTTGAAAAATACTATTTTGGGAAAGTTTTTTTATATTAATATGGAAAAAATAATTGTGAGTTATAAATTGAGATAACAATATTTTTTGTTGATGGATGAGTATTCTTTTAGAAATTTTTATCAATAGGTTGTATTTTTAAATAAATTTTTAAAAAATGTTATTTTGGGAAAGTTTTCATTTTTATAGGAAAAATTTATAGATTTGGGATTCTGATTTATAAATTAAGATAATAATAATTTTTGTTGATAGATTAGTATTCCTTATAAATTGTTTATAAATTGAGAAAGCAAGAATGTTTGTTGATTGGTGAGTATTCTTCTAGAATTTTTGATCAACTGGTTGTATTTTCTAGATAATTTTTTTTAAATGCTATTTTTGAAAAAGTTTTCATTTTATAAGGAAAAATTATGGATTTTTGATTATGATTCATAAATTGAGATAACAAGAATGTTTGAAGATAAATGAGTATTCTTTTAGAATTTTTGATTAATTGGTTGTGTTTTCTAATTAAACTTTTTAAAAATGTTATTTTGGGAAAATTTTCATTTTTATAGGGAAAAATTATTGATTTGGGATTGTGATTTATAAATTAGGATAACAAAAATGTTTGTTATGATATGAGTAGTTCTATGTAAAAAGGTAGTAGATAGAAATATTTACTTCATGATGAAATGTGAACAAAACATTTTTTAATATTCTCTTTGTTTCAATAAGATGGATGTTTTAGAATTATCACAAATATTAAGAAAACTTCTTAAATTTGTATTATAAGTATATATTTTTTGTTGTTTAACTATTTTCCATAATAGTCAATCAAAATTTAATAAAAACAATTAATTTTTTTTGAAATTTACTAATTATCATTATTACATATATTAGAAATGTAAAAATTGATCTTTTTAAAACAAAGAAATTTTTTACAATATGGATCATTTTGAAGGGAATATCTAATATAGTCCATTTAACAAAAAATAGTCAAAAGCAAGTGCACCATCATCAACGTTGCAGCATATGGAGAGCACCACGTGGGTTGTAAACGCCAGACAATTTGCCGCCGAGTGGAAAAGATGGTAATAAACTGTAGCAGAGGCGAGAGACTCTCATTCACTGTTTTCTTGAATCATATTATAATGCAACTACGAGTATTAACGGTTGTACTATATACAAATCGATAGATTCAAGACTCGTTGAGTGCATCATTTTGGTTTATTTCCGTGTACTTTGCGGAAAATGAGGAAAGAAGCTGAGAGCTCTGCCGTTGATTCCAAAAGCATTAGAGATGCCATCTGCAACGCTGGTGCTGGAGCCGCCGCTGGTCAGTTTTCGAATGATCTGATGTGTGCTGTTCTTTTTCTTTAGGTTGTATCTTGATTCTTAGTTTGATTTGGTAACTTTCTTAGGTGCAATCGCTGCGACTTTTGTTTGCCCATTGGATGTAATCAAGACAAGGTTACAGGTTCTTGGCCTTCCAGAAACTCAAAGAGGTATAAAGAAAATTAGATGTTTTCCTTTTGAGGATATATGAGATGGGTAATAAATACTCTTGATCATCATTTGAATAAATTTGTCAGGTAGTGTGATCGTTACAAGCCTAGGGAATATACTAAAGAAAGAAGGTGTTAGGGGAATGTTTAGAGGCCTTTCACCAACCATCATAGCTCTCCTTCCAAATTGGGCTGTGAGTTTCCACTTGATTAGAACTTACTCTCTTTGTTACTTATGATCATTCAAATGGCATAAGAGATCTTCATGTCTTTCCGCAGGTGTACTTCTCTGTTTATGGAAAGTTAAAGGATCTTCTCCAGTCAAATGGTATATATATACTACTCAATGCATCACAATTTTTTTTTCTTAGTTTTTTTTTAATTTTCTTTAATGTTGTTAATATTCTCGTGATAGATGGAAATCTAAGTATTGGGGCGAACATGGTAGCTGCTGCTGGTGCTGGAGCTTCAACATCTATTGCAACTAACCCACTTTGGGTTGTCAAAACAAGATTAATGGTATGTTTTTGTTGGTTTGGTTTCAGTTCCATCTATGTGAGTCTCTAAATGTCTTTCCTATTTTTCAGACACAAGGAATGAGACCAGATGTTGTACCTTATAAAAGCATATTGTCTGCATTTAGTAGAACTAGATTCGTTTCCCGGGCTACGCCCGGGTTGTTTGGTTGAAATTAATTATTTTTTTACTATTAAATATGTCTCTGTTTAATTGATTATAAAATAAGTATGTATATTAAATTAAGTTTTAGCGGTTTCATCAACACGATGACGGAGATTGTAACCCCCGATGATCGGAATAGTTCTATAGAACAACTGTCTACCTCTCTGTAGACGTTTGTCATAGGTTAGGAATGAAATTTGAGGCACAAACATGTTAGGTTAGGGTCGATGGAGTAGAATTGTTTCCTTGGTAGGATGTGAAAAGTCTAGATTTTCCTTCGTATAAAGAAAGACGAAACACTCGGTAACTCACAATATATTTATTTCACAAGCAAAAATAAAAGCAAAATACATGCTAATCAAAAGAAAAATAAATTATTATATATTAAATGAAATAAGAAACTTAAGCAATAAAATTAAGAAGTTACACAATATATACCACTAAAATATAAATATAATATCTAAAGTATTTATGATAATATCAAAGTTAAACATTTATACAATAAAAAATACCTGCACAATATACTGACCAAACTCTAGTAGAGAGTTATTTTATGGATTTAATAATTTATTTCAAAGGGAAACAAAATAAAGAAATGTATTGTTAATTGGAATTCAAAGATTTTGTAGAATAATAAACATAATTAAAACCATTGATAAAAAATTTTCCAGTATCATGGGATTGTAAATAATTTAATTCTTCAAGGTGACCTCAAAAAAGATCCTTTAGTTTTAATAGTATTGATTTTCAAATAAATAAAATACAGATTATAAAAAAAATAATCTACAAATAAAGTTTTATGAAAATTTTACAAAACAAACAAATATAAATTGATATAGTGATGTACGACATGTGTTCACTAAATACTAAAATTATTGAATTAAATTATTAAAGTTAAGTAATATTTAGCTTACAAAAAATGGACTAACAAAAAAGAAATGAATTAAAATAAGATATAGTACGGTGAAAATCATATATAAAATAAAAATGAACAAATACAAAGAAAATCGTTAAATAGCAATAGAATAAATGCTCCTAGCTATTATTTATTGTCTTATTGAATATGCATGGTTCTAGGTTAATACAATTCTTAGTTTCTCTACTACAAATATTTACTCGTTTTACCAGTCCATGATCTTTATACTCATAGCTTCCCAGTCATAGTCACCTTCTCTATTATATATACCATCAATATCTCTCCTGACCTCGTCTTGTGTTGTCATAGGATCCTCTAGTATCTCGTCTTACTCTCTGCGATGGGCAATGGCTCATGCTGTTACTTCTATCCCTCTCTTGTAGAAAGCATAAGTTACTATGTCATCATATCTATAAACAAAAGAACACATGACATTTGAATGACACTGACCTACGGGTTCTAGGCTTGTCACTCAAAGGGGACTGTCAGAAACACAGTTGCCTACTTTCCTCTTGCACAGACGATTTTGCTAGCCTCATCGTAACCCATCATGGCGGCATGACCGTTATCATTGCCTTTGGGAGGTCAAGCTTTTACTGAATGTTGTCTGGATTCAGATGCTCACTGTCCTAATCATATCATCCGAAGCAGATCTCATGTTTCGTCCCTTTCAACCATTACCCTCGGGATAAACATGGATGCTCGGTCTTGTCGCGAAAATAAGAAGCTGACTTCCCAACATATTCATTTGCACAAAGATGTTGAATATCCTCTTCCTTGTAGGAAAAAGAAAGATTATATACGCTTCAATTTAAGCAAGAAAAATCTTATTATCAAAAGGTCAACTAAACTGAGCTAAAATGAAACTAAATTTGAATCTCTAGTCACATGACCGTCTCTAAATTGGAGCATCCTCAAGTTTGGCCAACCAATATTGAAAATAGAGTGAGAGTGGAAGATATGAAACTTACATGAATTCATAAGCCTTGTTCGTATTCATGGAAACCAAGCTTCACTTTAGGGAAAGTAGTTGTATCTTATAGGAAGAAACCTACGTAAAAATTGGAAGGATTTGTCGAATGGGTACAACAACCTTCTTTGCGTATCCTCCTCCAAAAAGAAGAGCACAGACCTGAGATAAATAGAGCGTGTCAGCAGTTTAAAACATTAATCTAAGCCTACGTAGAGGATCGGAAGGTAATCCAACATAAACTGGACAAAGCTTAATCAACAGTTAATCTAAATTCTTTAACTTGGTTTAATCATCCCGCATAGAGAGATAGTGATATATCCCTATAAGAACTTGTCTCTTACTTAAAACCCAGTCTTTATATCTTGATTATTACCTCACTGTAGTCTGAAAAGCTAAAATGTATTGCCTTAAACTAACAGGTGTCTTCTTTTGAGGTAAACAGAAAATTCTGTTGCAAACAATGTTAAATAAAAATTTGATAAGATGGTGATAAACCATCAAATATATCAGCAAAAGTAAAGACTCTTTTAATCACCTTGGGTTTGAGATCTCGGTGTAACCATCTTTGCATCTTCTTCCGTATACTTCCCACCTCTACACATAAAACACACCACCAAGTTCAGTTTACAACAAACAATCCTACGTCTGAAGTGTATTGTTCCCTTACCTTATAAGTACTATATCCAGAGCTCTCTTCGTTCCCATAGCCTAAAACAACAAATCACTTGCATTTTCACTACATCTCTATGACATTATTATGATCCTTATATGCATCATAGAAATAAGGAAGGTTATATCATGACCAGACAAAGCTCTCAATATCTCCACTTCTCTCCTTACATCTACATAACAAAGTACAAAAACATTAAAGGTAATAAGACGAATGAAACTAAAACAAAATACCAAACTCACAAATTGATTGCATCAAGTCTAGAATTCGGCATTCTGCAGTAGAATCCAAGACCCATGAACTGCTTCCAGCTCTTGCTCTCCAGACAGTATTTCTGGATTCAGAAAACTGTGGTTTTTCCCCAACTTGACGATCTAATAACTGACGGAGTATAACTTGTAACTGAGTGTTATTGGTGGCTATAGAAAGCTGGGAACGTCAGCTTTCCAACAATAACAATCTTACCACCTATATCCTTCTGTATCGACGGAAACGCGTCTCCCAATATGGCTCTGTGAACTTGAAAAACAGATCTGGGTAGATTTCAGAAACAGGCTGATTTTCTAACAACTGTAACTCAAATAATTAATGGAGTTTACCTCGTAATTGAGCGTTCTTAGTATCTATAGAAAACTGGGAACGTCAGCTTTCTAACAATATCAAGAACATCATGTAACTCCATCTGTATCAACGGGAAATCGTCTCTCAATATTGTTGTGTGAAACTGGAAAACAAATCTGAACAGTTTCAGAAACAAAATGGTTTTCTCACAACTTGTAGATTGAATAACTAACTGAATATACCTTGTAATTGAGATCCTTCCTTGCCTGTGTCATATAAAAAAGACATATAAAACTCATCATCTCCCAGAAAAATCATATGATCTACTGAAAGCAAGATCAATAATAAAACTCGGAAATATTACTCTAGTTGAGAGTGTAAGCCATCGATGAATTACTGGATACAAACAGTTTGCATCTGTTTAAACACATACCGCAAATAAAATAAGATATCATCCTTCAACAACAACAAAATCATAATAATTCAAGACAGAACATTTCACTCAGAGAAATCAGATTTACTCACCGTGAATGTTTATGCCAAACTCATATAAGTATTCGTACCATTTGTCTCTTTAACATGAAGGCTTTGGAAGTGGGTTGGGATTTATAAAAGAATCGAGGCCAAGAAGAAAGAAACAATTGAATGAGTAGAATTGAATTACAAAATCGTGGGAGAGATCGGTTTCGAAACCGATTTGAAAGAGAGGATTAAGAGCGTTTAAAGAAGACTAGATCCGTTGTCCGCGCTACGCGCGGAAATTTTGGGTGTTAATTTTTTTCAAATGAAAATTTGTTGGAAAATAATTTTTTGTTTGTTTGTTTTGCTAGTTTTCCTTGAAATAGTTTTTTTAGGACGGATATTTTTGATGTTTAATAGTTTTAAATTTAAAATCGTTGTAAAATATAATTTATTTGTTCTGTTTAAATATCTGATGTTTAACTAATTTTTCGCTGAATATTTTTGTATACTTAATAAATTTTAATTTGTTGTGTGCGAATGTGATAACTAAATTGAATGATGGATACAATATGTATGTTATAATATTAGTATTAAATGTAAATTTAAGAAAATTTCCAATACTTGAGAACCTCAAAAGTTGATCCTTGGATTTTCTTTTTAAAGTTGTGAAATAATACCTTATTCATTTTAAGTGGGCGAGTTTATCTCGAAAAATTAATACTTTATACTCATTTACTTTAAAAGTTGTACATAACTTTTATGATTGAGATTTTTTCTAATAAATCAAAAACCAGTCTCATACTGACTTTGTTTACGGTAAGTTTCTAAAGAGTTATTGTAGTTTGTGAAGTAGTTATTAAAACTATGCAGTAGACGCAAATAGATTTGTATATATGTTTTCGGTGGATTTTTCTTTTGGGAATACCGTAAGTAGCTTTATGTGGCTAGAACTGATTATGTTTCTTCAGTCAAAAAAAAAAAAAAAACTGATACATCACCTCCTATGGAACAACAACAATCCTGATTATGTTTCTGACCAGTTTATGAGTTTATCCTAAAGGTACTGTTATATTTTTGTTGTGTTAATATATTAAAAGAATTTTATTAGAGGTTTTGTGTTAAGGTTAGTTTATTTTTTTGGGTTTTTTGGGCATTGGGAAAGTTATTTTAAATATTGCATAGTAACTGCAATTGTTTCTATTACAGAAATTTTAAATAGAAAATGTTTAAATGTCTTTTTATATCGGGCTGTTAAGTCAGAGATGGTAAGAAATTAGTGTTTACATGACCTATGTTTATGTATTGTTGACGTAAAACTTCACTGATTTATAAAGTTGGGGACATTGGTAAATAAATAAAACACCTCAATGCTCCCGTTATTATTTAAAGTCGTAGTAATTCTTACACCAATAAAAATAGTTTAAAGGGACAACTAAAGTTTAAAATAAAGCTAAGTGGGGTTGACGGCTGCAGAACGCAGATTTGCTTCACCAACTCCTGTCACTTGAAGAAACATATCGGTTGGAAGGAAAGGAAGTGTAAGATTTTCTAAGCTTCCTGCAGCAACTGGTGCTCGAAACAAAGGACCAGCCATTTCGTTGGAGGAGACCTACAAACAAAATCAGCTACATTTGTCTTGAGGAGGAAAACAGTGATAACCTTAATTAATTCTATTTTGAAACAACATACGAGTACTACGTTTTTTTAAAAAATGGGTGTTACATGGTTGACTTACCTGTTTATATAATCTTTGAACACAAGGATAGTGTTGTCAAAGTAAAAATGGGTCGATTGGGTTGAGTTAAGAAAGAGATTTCCTACATAAGCCCAAGTGTTTCTTAGATTATGTTACAAACTAAAATATGACAGGTTGAGGAATTTAAGTTGGCAGGAAAAGTGTACCAGATNGTTACATGGTTGACTTACCTGTTTATATAATCTTTGAACACAAGGATAGTGTTGTCAAAGTAAAAATGGGTCGATTGGGTTGAGTTAAGAAAGAGATTTCCTACATAAGCCCAAGTGTTTCTTAGATTATGTTACAAACTAAAATATGACAGGTTGAGGAATTTAAGTTGGCAGGAAAAGTGTACCAGATACATGTTTACTTCTTAAAGATTCAGAACCATACTCCAAATATTTTTTGGATTAACCGTAGTCAAAAATCCCCTTAAACTTTGCAGCAGCGTCGTCTTATAGAGAAACAACAACAGAACTGGAATGGGAGATTAATTAGTTTTATTTAAAAAAAAAAACTTTATGGGTAGCATTTTAAAATATTGGTACGTAAGTCTTACGGTTCAATGAGAGACTGACCGCAATCATGTGGTCGCTTCAGAGTTGTTCAGGTCAGAGTGTGGACATAACGGATTTTCCCAATCACATCTGAAAATGGAAGCATTTTTAATAATGAAAACATAGGTGTTTTAGGATGAGGCAAGAGTAAAGCTGTTCTTACATCAGGAAGCATTCGGTAACAGGTACCAAGCCGTAGCTACTGGAGACCACTTTGCATGTGTTTTACCAATGCCCTTAACCGGATGAGCTCAGTCTCCTACATAAGAGGATGCAAGTGTTTGGTTCATCTGAAGTTGTGCAGTTGAGAAGTTGAAAAAATAGTACCTGACCAGGGCCGAGTTTTGATATCAATATGTTATGATAGCTCGGCGTGATAGGATTATCAGCAAGTTCAGGGAAGAACTCTTGGCTGCGGCTGAAAGTATTTATAATTTTTTAGCTTTGAGGTTGAAAGAGATTCTTTAACCAACTCACTTTCATTTAATAGCCACATCAACTCCTTCGTTAAAACTACGACAAAAGAGAAAGAAAAACAACATTATTTCATGAGAGAAAGAAAAACAACATTCTTTCATGATAGAATGTAACATTACCTTTGTTCGTCCTTCACCCTCTGACACATTTTGCAAGGAGTTTGAAAACAATGATATTCTTTTCATTTGGCTGGTCGTTCTCTATGGTCAGAGAGAGAAACATATTAGCTGAGAGACACACACACACACACACACACATATATATATATATATATATATATATATATATATATATATATATATATATATATATATAATTGCTTACAGATAAAGAATCAAATGTCAGATATAATATCTTCTTACCAGATAAATACTTGAAGAGCTTAGGATCTGCAGACTCGTCATCAGTTTTTCTTGGGTAGTCTGCTCTTCATCTACAAAGAAAAAACATTGAAATGTATTTAATTCTTAATAAAAAAGGAATCATATAATACAGTTAACACAAAGTTGTTTCTTTCGTACCTCTTCTGATTTGCTAAATCTTGTACCCACGAAAGTCATGGCACCAGATAGCTTACCAGTGGTTGATTTAGCTGTAGAAGAATAGTCTTGTGCGATTTGGTGGAAGCAACCTTTGATGAAGCAGTCATGGAAGCCTTTAGCTGCTCGAAGAAAGGCTTGAGTTATGCCTTTTTTGAATACTTCTCAAGTCCTGATACGAATGACATTGTCTCTTGGAAGTCTCTTTCTCTATTTCTGTCACTGACATGGTCGATTTTGAGCTTGAGCTGGCGGTTTCAGATGGAGAGGCCTCATTCTCTTTGGCATGTGAATTCAGCAGCGCCTACATGAGTAAAGTTTTTAATTTAGGGAAAGTACGAAAGTCACTATCAACATAATGTATCCATATTAGCTCAAGCACACATATCTGAGCAACATTATCTCAGAGACCAAGCTGATTGAACTGGATGCTTTCCTCGTGAACCAACTTGAATCTAATACAGTGACAATGAGAAACCCAAACAACATTACATACTTCACGAGGAGGGATAAGGGAATCAAACAAACCTATTTGATCGCCAAAAGACTGCACACCCGTCAACAGCATTACCCATCCGCATCTACAGTTATGTATAAAACAGAGTTATCCTCACATTTTAAACCTCATTATCAAACCTTGACACAAACCATTTATATTTAGTCCAAGAGAGTCAAACTCATTCAGGACTGTCACAAAAAAATATGTGTATGATGCCAATTCTAAAGAAAGATAGATAGCCCCTAAAAGATTTTTTTTTTTCAACCAATTCAGAAATTTTTACGTACCTTCCAGATGCCACTATATCCCCTGTGCTTTAACTCTTCCTCCAAGTCTTGAAATTTACCAACTTCCTGATATATGCAAAGTAATATTAGATTACTAAACATATTGAAAAAGATAAACATCTTTGTCTTCATAGTCTCTCATACATAGAGAGTTGCAAGATGAAACTAAGACCTGGAGGCACATTATTTCAGCCGACCATAGGCCAAGCTCAAACACAATCTTGCTCCTCCTCCATCCCCAACTCAACACATTCCTTGGTATATGAATATGAAGATTTATCCAGTGATCATTCGCAAGGTAATCCGCAATACGTTATACGATAGAACAACAAACTTCTCTGCAGTGGAAAAACAAAACAAAAACATATCAAAAAGACTAAAGCATAGTAACATCAACTCCTTTACCCTCTGGCACATTTTGCAAGGAGTTTGAAAACAATGGGGTTCTTTTCATTTGGCTGGTCGTTCTCTATGGTCAGAGAGAGAAAGATATTAGCTGAGAGACACACACATATATATACATAATTGCTTACAAATAAAGAATCAAATGTCACATATAATATCTTCTTACCAGATAAATACTTGAAGAGCTTAGGATCTGCAGCAATGGGAAGATGACCCATCTTCAGAGCAAGAATTTCATCTTGAAAAATCGATATATTGTTTGCTATAATCACTTTTTTCAAAAGACATCGTAGGAAACTGCAGAAAGTAAAAAAAAAAAAAAGCCTTTATAAAACAAAAGACTCTAAGAAGGTTATGGCTGCAATTGACTATGGAAAACTCTTTTGAAAAATATACCGGGGAGCTCTAAGTTAGTGTTTGCATGAGCTTAGAGATGGTCTCAGCTTCTGAAGATTGATAGCAGTTGAAGGCGTGAAAACTTCATCACATGCGGGAGCAGATTGAAAAGGGAAGGTGGATGGAGAAGACGATGAGTAACGCGACTCTCTGTCCAGGAACCGCTGGGAACTGGAAGAGTCTTACCTAGCAGCTAATGGGCCAACAATCAAACAACTTTTGCCTTCTGAAACCGTAGGCCCGAATGAAAACGCAGAGAGAGTAAGATGACGTGTCATAATGAAATGTTTCTATTGGTTGAATATAATAAATGACGTGGATAGCTTAAAAACTCTAGAATAAGCCCTTTTAATATAGTTAGATGAATCGGTGAGGAAGAACAACACAGCCGCCGGAGAGAAGGAGAAGGCCTATATCCTAATGGGTCGAGAAGAAAAAAATTTCAGACCCAAACACAAGTAAGGCCCATCCGAGAGGCAGACTTGCAGAGCTGGCGGAAAGGAGGTCCCTTATTGGTTAAATATAATAGGGGACGTGGCAGTGTAAGGAGGCTTTATTTGCCCCTTTTAATTATAGTAGATTTATAAGGAAGAAGGATTCAGAGGATTGTACAGGTCAGTAACTCCAATGAAGCTTGATATTCAAGAAACCACAGCTAAAGTTATATTAATATTTGGGTTGTTATTTGCTTTGTGCTGATTGAAACAGTGGCGTTTTACCTTCTTTGGTGGGAGTTAGTCATGTTGCGATCCAGTTTCCAGTATATGAAAAAATCAAGCAATACATGGCAAAAGTAAGTGACACAAGTGTGGACAAGTTGAGCCCGGGGAATGTAGCCCTCGCCTCTTCAATATCTAAAGTAATCGCCTCTGTATCAACATACCCGCACGAGGTCACTTTCCCTTCCCCTCTATCCTTTGCTTTTCACTTCTAGGTCATCCTTTACACTAAACATTTCAGGTTGTGAGGTCAAAGCTTCAAGAACAAGGGCAAGTAAGAAACGTTAAGGCTAAGTATTCAGGAGTCATTGACTGCACAAAGAAGGTGTTTAGAAATGAAGGACTCCCCGGATTTTACCGAGGCTGTGCCACTAACCTACTAAGGACAACACCTTCTGCGGTTATTACATTTACAAGCTATGAGATGATCCATAGGTTTCTTGTACAAGTAGTCTTCCCGGAAAAGGAAAGCCAAAACCATTAAAACATATAGTTAAATTAAACGTGAAGAATAACACAGAGACTCACAGACCAGTTTTTAATAATAACATAAGATTTGTTGCCAAAGATGCGATAATTAATAAAAGGATATATATATATATATATATATTTGTTCATATAAGGAAACAAATGGTTTCCTGTCACATAACAAAAAACAAGAAATAAATTATACATTACTCAGTAATGGTACCAAGCTTAGGACGCCAAGCTCGCTTGAGAAGCCTTTTGCTGAATCCGAACCAAACCGCTGATTCCATCTGTGAACCAGCAGATGCGTTTAGTTTAGCTCTCATGGCTGCAAGAACTTCTTCTTTTGTTTTCCCCTTTGGTCTCTCCTCCTCTTCTTCTTCTTCTTCCTCTAGAGGAGACGAAGAGACGAATAAGTCTCTCAGTTTGCGTCCACCTACGTCCCTGTGAGAAGCCTCATGATGAATCAGAGTCTGCTCTCGGCGGCTTGGCGATCCAAGACTCAGAAGCATCTTTAAGGTTGTCTTCTTGCGACGAAACTGTACCAAAGGACTTGTACTCGGGCTTGGACTTCGTGTGGGGCTTTGTTCAACTCCACACTGCGTCGCTAGGAACTTGAATCTTTGCAGCGTCGCCATTGGTTTAGGTAATATTTTGAAAACCTTTTGAGTTAATAGTTGTAATGGTGCCTCGTTATTATAGCTGTTTCCAAGTGATAATCAAACCTTATAAATGCAAAAGAAAGAAAGTTCTTTTGAAGCAGTCTCTCTTCTTGAAAGTGTGTGCTTTGAATGGAATTTTTGTGGACCTTAAGGACGTAGTTTCCAATGAAATTCCAAATGTATCATTATTGATGGTCTTTGCAGAAAAGTTTGAAAAAAAAAGAAAAAGTGTTTTGTTTATTCGATTCTTTTTTCTTTCTCATGTTGTTTGCACTTTTACTTTCTTCAATGTGCATAGAAGGAATCGTTTCCTCTGGTTTTTAAAACCTTTTGAGACTAAAAAGAAAAGGAAATAATGTGAGAGCTGATGAGAGCCACGTGTTTCTGGTCTTAGATTCATCTTCTCAGCTTTAAAGATACTTGTCTTGTTACTCTGTGTTTAGAATGGAGACAATAGTATCTTTTATGATTTTGGTGGACTAGTAGTCATTATATCATTTGCCATTGATTTGTATACACATCTCATTTTTATTAATTTTCAGGTGTTTTAACTCTAAAAGCTCTATACAATAACTAAGAATGAATTATTTGACTCTTACTAACTCCAGTATCATATGTTGATCAACTTCTTGATCACCACGGCACCGGGGATGGTATGGTTTACTAAGTAAGTTTTTTTACCAAAAGAAGTTTATGGTCGTTGTTCATTTTGGTCATGGCATATGTACTCCTTAGTCTAGATTGTCTTTAGTTCTTTTAAAATTCATCTATTGTATCTTAACATCCATACCTGGAAAAACAAAACTTTATCAATTGTTCATGGTCTTGTCTAGCGGAAGGCTAGGCTTTGAAAAGCCAACTCTACCACCATTCCCATAACTGCACTAAAGGTGTTCAGGTTCCACAAAGTGTAGAGTATATGAATTTCATCCGATGAACAAAAGAGATTTGATTTTGGAGTCCAGGGAGAACACTTGAATTTTGGGCTCGAATTAAACAAAATGGTCTTTGAATTGGCGCCTTCTTTTAAAAACTCTGTTGGCCCAACTTAGAAACCTCTTTCCGGCTGTCAAATTGGTGGGATCCCGTTTCAGTTTTCTCAAGAAAACATTGGTTCATTAATCATTTTCCTATCCAAATCATAAAATACTTTTATACGCTCCAGATTACTTTCTTGCACTTTCACTGTGCAACATGCTTGTCAACTTGATTCTAGATCATTGGTCATGCATAATAATCAAATCACCATTATCATACCAAAAAAAAGAACATTTTATTATAGTTTATACGTCATCTGAATGGTTCTTCTATACTAAAAGATTAAGAGAATTTGTTGGTAGCGAATGATTACTCCATATACAGAGTTTCGATTGTATTTATAGTACTAAACTAGTACTTTTTCCATTCCATTCACTATTATGCGTACGTGCTACTTAGAGTAACAATATTCAGAGCTTTAGTCATTTAACCAATTGATTTTAATCCCAACACACTCAGTAAAAAACACAATATAAAATGAATGTCACGTACAGGTATATATATTTTACGCAAGTATTACAACTTACAACTGATATGCTAAATATTGATCAATCATATAAGTAGTTATTTTTGAAAATTTCCCTCAATTCAAAGAATTTAATATTCTAGTAATCAATAACTTGTTATTGTTTTGTAAAATAATTCATGAATGTTTAATCCATTTTATCCATTTAAATTAGTATGGTCAGCATAATTAACCAATTACACTAATAAAACGGATTGAATAGGGTCGTTAGCCATTTTGGCATATTCTGTGTGTAGGGACAATGCAGCTAGTACCATCATGAGACGATAAGCATAATTAGCTGTTCGAAACTAGTAGTTTTCATTATGCAAGTTGCACTAGTCCAACACTCCAACTCTATCCAAAAAAATCCAAAATATAGTCAAGTTAAACAGCTTAAACTTGCTTTGAATTCCTTTGTGGAGAGCACACACGTTTCTATATAAGTCCAGATGAAAACGTAACCGGAACGATAAAGCCCTTCAGTAAGATTCGATCTGATGCTGCCGTGTCATAGACGAAATTGTGGCGTGCATCTAACAATGGCTGGGAATTTGGACCAAATCTATCTCCAGATCATTCTGGTAGGAATCACATAGTTTTAAAAAAAACTTATGGCTACGAATGCTATATTGTTTCCCGCTCGTCCAGGAGAGGCACGTGTGTTTAAATCTGTGGTGGACATGTCGTTGTTCTTACAATACGAAATTGTCTCAGACAGGGTCCACATGAGTTTCTAGCACCTCTCAGGCTTTCCTATTCTCTGTTTAAATAAACAATCTAGAAAGTTATGATTTCCCCAAAAATATTCATATGTATCTCCGAAAAACTGTTAATTAAAAGATAATTGACAATAATTTCTAAATTAAAATGAGAAGTTGCTTTGCACCAAACATGATAAGATAAAATATGTTATGATAGTCAAATACTTATTTGTATATTTTTACTATATTCGTTAAGGTTCATGTATTTAAAATATAAGAATTATAAATCATTTTTACAAAGTGTGATAAGAGAATTGAATATGGAAACAAAAACAGTTGTCATATTATAATAGTTGTCACATTAAGCAAAAAGAAACAAAACACAAAAACATCTATTCATTGAGGACCTCACCGATCCTCATCTTAACAAAGTAACCACCAACACAATTATTTTGGACGGCTTTAAATCCGCAAACCTTATACCAATAATTGTGTTGAAAAAGGCAAATACTAGTAATATACTGTGGTAGGTGTTCGAACTACTCATAATATATTGAGAAAATAACATAGAGGGTCACTTTTCATCTTTGTAATAGCAGAATAGATCACATATTACTACTGAGGCACTTTTGTTCACTTTCCTTTGTTACCAAAAAAAAAAATTATATGTGAAATTCTAATTCTATCCTTCTTGATTTAAGCAATTAATTTTTTTTCTAGGTTCTTTTCTTCCACAATATTTTCTCCTCTGCCGCCAACCATTTATCCCACATCTACTCCTTCTTCTTCTACTCCTCTTACTCCATAACCATCTCCTTCTGCACCTTCTACTTCTCCTAAATCTCCTACTCAAAATATTTCACCTTGAATCTCAGAACCACCGTCGAATCCTTTAAGCAACAGCAAAAACAGATCTACTCAAAATATTATGTCTTGTGATATTTCCACCACCGTTAAATCCCTTAAACTCCATCTTCCCCTTCATGCTTCTGATTGGTTATTAACAAGAGCGATGTCTGAAATTTCCATCAAAGAAGTTACTTTACTTGTGATATTAACTCTAGTTTGTCTTTTTTTGTGAAAAGAAACAAAAAAGAAGAAATTAAGAAGATGTTGACTAACCTTCTCATCCACCTCTTCCTGATTCCAAAAGTATTAATTTGCCAAAAAGTTACAATCTTTTTTGTGAAAATGTTACTAATTTGTACAAAGTTTCAATTTTTTTGTGGAATGTTAGTAAGTTTTATGTATTTCAGAGGGAGTTGAAAAAGATAGAGTCTAGAACCAAGTTACTAAAAGAAGTATATGGTAAGCTTTGAGTGTTAAGAGATGAATTAGAGAGAGTGTGAGGATTGAAGAAAGATAGTGCAAACATGTACATGTGTACAACTGCAACTTAGTATACACATAACAATTTTGTAAACATGTACATGTGTACACATAAAATTTTTGTAAATATAACGAAACCATACAATGACATTATGTACAATTTACTCTTGTACACATTTACACAAATGTATATATACTTCGAATATGTATATGTACAAATAAATATAGTATCCACATATACATAACTAAGTGTGTATGTAATAGATTTGTACAATGCATGTGTAATACATTTTGTAAATGTCTAAGTGGTATTGTTACATCGTAAGTAAGTATGTATGTAATAGATTTGTACATTTTTTTGGGTTGTACACTTGTACACAAAGACAATAAATGCAAAGTTGTACACAAGTACACAATATGAAACTGTCCAGATGTACTTGTTCCTCTGATTGTACATGTGTACTCCATTTTATTTAGATAAAGTTGTTGAAATTTTTGGAACAATGATTTTTTTTTGTCGGGAGAGTGTGTTTGGAATAAGAGCTCTAGCTATGTGTTCAGAAGTAAACCCAAAATTTGAAGCACAATTTTAGCTATCAAGAGATTTGATAAAGATGACAATGAATAGACATCTTGGCAATTTATCGAACACTTGGTATGCATTCTTTGTATTTATTTTTGCCAAACAAAATAAATTATATCCAGCTATTATTTGACAAAATAAGAGTAAAAACATAACATCTTTAGTAAAAAACGAACCAAGAATAGAGGAAGAGTAAACTTAGTACAAAAAATTAATAAATCTCAAACAAATCTTGCCCCTTAGTGAAAAAGGAACCAAATATCTTTTTTTGTAAGGAGATTTTTCAGAAATTCAAAGTTCTCCCATCACAATTCAGTTTCTTCTCTATGATTATAGTCATCTCTTTTCACAGAAAAATGTTAATTCCTAGAAAAAAAAGAGAGAGATGCGTACAAAGAGAGAAAAGAGAAAGAAAAAAAAGAAAGAGAGAGAGAAGAGATGAAATCAGACAACGGCAGCTTCTTTTTTTTTTTTCTTAGAGAAATAAGGTCACTTGATTTTTTAGGGGTAATTTCGTATTCAACCATAAAAAAAGTGTCTGTGTATAACAATGTGATCTATTATGACAGATAAAGTCATAAAGTGACCTACAATGATAATCTCTCTAATATATTTACAATTTAATTAATAATAAGTAAATAACAACTCCCAGCAAGCAAAAAAAAAACAATTACCTTTTATTGTGGCGGAGAGAAAGTTTACTACTTGAAATGGTAGACACAGAGAATACATCTGTCAGAGGGCTGACTCATTGTGATTGATGCCTTATCTTTCCCACTTTTTCCTACGTGTGCCCCAAAAGACTCTCACGCTTATCCACTAGTTAACTGACACGTCATATCTCGTACCTCTTTTTAAGGCTTGCTTCATCTCTTACATTCAACCCCCTCTTCTCTTTCTTGTCTCAACAAAAAAAAAAAGCAAACCCTAACTAGTTTTTTTTTTCTTTCTCCGTAGCTATGGAGGTTCCAATGATCAATAGAATTAGAGATTTCGAAGTAGGCATAAACTCAATAAACGATCCATCGTTTCTCTCCCGATCTGTTGCCGTCTCCGGTATCGGAAAGCTACACCAAGCTTACGGTTTCTGGAAATGGGGAGCTTTGATCATCGCATTTTTAGCTTATTTCACGAATTTCATTACAAGACTCAAGAGTTTAGTTGTTAGGTTAAGGAAGATAGATGTCTCCATCTCTCCCCCAACTCTTTTCGATGATTACGACACAGACTCCGACGTCTCTTGCTCTTCCTCCCCTTCTTCAGACGATGATGAAGAAGACGCGGAAGACAAAGACGAAGAAGACGTTGACTCTATTTACGATCAAGGATGGGTCAACGGAAGCTTCCGCGCGAGAGGATCCGAACAAGGGCAAAATGGTAATTTCACATGTTTTAATGGTAGTTTCGGAGATTTGTTCTCGTGGCCGGATCTCGGCGGGATTGGATCGAGCGGAGTCGTGAAGCTTTGGGATCATTTGGATATTGACGGTGATGAGGACGGAGATGGTGAGAATGTGGTGGCGTCGTTTCTCAGGAACTGCGGCGGAGCCGCTTCGCCGTCGTCGATTTTTCTGACGGCGGAGAAGAGAGGAAGCGACGGCGTTAAAGTGGAGGCGCGTGATCCACGTGTTGGTTTTCGGATGCCGGCGTTGTTGGCGGAGTGGAGGCAGCCGGGGAGGTTTCTAGGGAATATAATCGGAGTCGACGTCGGAGGCGTGGAGAAGATTTACGTCAGGGATGATGTCAGCGGGAAGGTCGCCGTGGGGGATTTGAGGAGGTTTAACGGTGCGTTGACGGAAAATGACGGTGAGACTTGGTGGGACACTGACGTCGTTATCGGAGGTTGATGACGGCTTCGTTGAGGAGATGCTTTAAATAATTAAAGATTTGATTGTGACGGTTGCGTCTTGGAAGATTCAAACGCGATAATGATTAAGGAGAAGGACGAACGTTTTGTAAATAATTTGTATGTTTTGCTTCTCTTTCAGTTTTTATTTTAGAATTTGAATAAATCAACTTCGGATGATTCTATCAAATGGTTAAATTTTTTTCTTGAGTTTTGTTTGGTCGGTTACTTCACTTGGAGTGACTGACCATGTGGCCGGTTGCGAGTTTTTGTAAGGTTAATATATAGTATAGGGAAAAAACCGCAATGGTTAAAAAAACAATTTTGAAGATAATGTCGTGAAAAATATGGCTAGGGGACTAGGACTGGTAATTTAGCTGGAAAATGGTAAAAAGAAAATTGATACTGTACTAATTTTATGAATCAAAAGCAAAGCAGAGAAAAAGCATATATTTTAGTATTCCATAAGAGAACATAATCAGGAACGAAACAAGAAGAAGAAATTCCAAATACATGTGGGAAATAATAACTATAACTTTCCACTTTTGTCTTGTCAATCCTCTTCTATATGCTTTTTTTCTCTTCTACTTGCGCTTTTTAGTACTAATGTAATGGAAAATTTTAAAACTAAGTTCGCTAGCCTTTCCTACATTGATTTTTGAATATATTTTGTATCAAAATATAGATTTTGGAGATGATTGGTTTGAATGTAACTGTAAGAATAGAAAATATTTTGATATAATTGTATTAAATGTAGCCGTAGAAACTTAAATTTTCTGTTGTTGATTCCTCAAATTTTAGCATGCCAATTGATGTTTCATGAATTGATTATAGGCCAATTGACAATTACGAAAGTGAGATAGTTTCTCAAAGTCAATATGAGAAGCTGCGTGTTTGTGCTAGTAGACGTCGTAGGAGTCATTTCATGTAGAGATGGACGGTCTCTTGTGAACTATGTTTAGTCTTAGTAAGAAGAGAATACTCTCAGTTGGGATGAAGACAGATTGTGCAGATTCGCTCAAGATGATCAAGGATACAATAGATTGTTTAGATTTCTTGTAGTTTAAATGTTTATACAGATTCTCTAGGCAAAGGTGTACTAATATATATATTGAATCTGTTGATAGTAACAAATTTTGAAATAATTGTGCTATCGTCCATAACTGATTTGATATTTGAAGCTAGTTGTAAAAATAGTTAACCAAAGAGAAAAACGAATGATAAATTTATCTACTAACTTTAACTTTAACTTTAAACATTAAGTAAGTTTTGAATATTATGTGCAAAATGAGTTTTTCTCTTAATTAAATTGTGAAGAAGGAAAATAAACCAAACGTGTTGATCGTGGATGATTTAGGATTTAGGCAAAAGAATAATGCGAGACTTTGACCGCTTTGAATTGGACAGTTCTTTGATTTTGGAAGCCACGTTTCTTCAGTTCGTGTGGTTTATTACATATTCACGCAAACAACTCTCTTCAAGCACTTAACAAAATAAGCTTAAGTTTTAGATTTTAGTTACACCCGATTGCTTGTGCGCTAGATTAAAAATGTTATAATTTCTTCCCAAAGGAGATTCAGCTTGGGGCAAACCAAGGCCGCCACATCTTTAGTAATACATGTTAAAGCAATACATTTTAGATCAACCAGTTAATCAATTATGCTTCGAGTTTTACATGAAACATTTTCATATCCATAAGATTAACAATCATATATGACCATTTCTTGAATTTTGGTCACCGTCTTTTCTTTTCGTGCTAATTTTTTTGTTGTTGGAGTATTGTGAAGGTAGAACACTTAGGTTAGACTTAGACTCAACATTTTTGTGTGCAAATCTTAACTTTGAATAGTTGTTAAGCTTTTATGGTCTTGTACCCAAAAAAAATCGTCATGGGCTATTATTATATGACATTCACATGGTTCTTGATTTGTTTTTCGAGAAACGAATCTCAGAATGATGGGCTGAAAATGATCGCCCTCACAACAAGCCCATGTTCATTCTCAGTATTTGGCAATTCTCGAGTCATTATGATTAATTACATCCAAAAAAGAACAAAATCATAAGAGCTTCTTACAATGAATACACAACATTAGCCTTAGCTTGTTTAGCTAATGCCTCTAACGCTACATCAACCGCATCTGGCAAATCATAGTTAGTAGCATTTGGGTGCGCATAAGTCATTTTCGGGATCATTTCAATAACAGCTTCCCTCATTTGAGCCACCTCACTCTCCGTGATCCTCGAGAGCTCTTGTTCTATAAGAGTACTGTTCTTTTCGTCCATAAACACTGAGTAACTACTTTTGTCATCTGGAAGATACCACATGTACTGTGTATACATAGTGTGTGGTGAAAAGAAAACCGGTATGCACCCTGCTAACATTGCATCGAATGTTGACCTACGTGTGAACGAGTCACCTGGTGCTTGTAGACAAAACCGTGACCGAGCCATCACTCCTAATACCGTCATCGGGTCGTGGCACCTACATTAATTGACTAGGTAATTAAGTTTAATATTCTAGTTCATTTTCTTATGAAGAACGGTTACACAAAACATTTTCGTATACACATATGGCTACAGTTACACATTTACTTTTCTTGTTGAATAAATTGTCACAGCCAACCAATGAAAACGTAACGTATAATAAAGTAACCGACTGTGGCAGTCGTTGTCATCTACCAGTATAAATCGGGTTGAAGTTGATGATTATGGACCACGTGAATATTGAAATCTGAGGTCCAGGGTAATAAATAATATAGAGACATTTGTCAAATTTACAGAAGTAGAAAGAAAGAAAAACATCTAACCTGGACCCTCCACTTTCACATTTGAGAAGCTCACAACGGCTTGAGCCAGCGCATTGTCTGATCAGCTCGTCTCTGATGGCTGCTTTCTCCAAGCCCTTTCTCGGACCACCGACAAAACTAAACAAGTTTGGTCTCTCGACATTTCTCATCTTGTTTTGCCACGTCAACATCTCTGCTGACGTGTACGGGTGAAAATAGGAAGGATACGGTATGCCAAACTGGTTTTGACCTTTCCACGGTTGCCTCTCCACAGTCAACACCGACATGTTTCTGACACGTGGCATTTGCATGAGTATGTTTGCACCAAAGTCAGTGCTTGCATCATCATCACTGGATCGCATGAAATCCCAAGCTGTTCTCCCAATTGCCAAGAAATGATCTCGACCGTTGCTTCTCCCCCACCATCGTTGACCACTAATGTAGTCAACTAATCTAACGGCTAGCTCGTCGCGCTTCGTAAGATTGTGTTGTCGGAACACGCTTGAGGAGTAGAGCCCACCGTAAAAGGGGACGTAGAAAATATCGGCATTGTCTGGCTCCCACGTGCGGCACGGATGGTTTTCAACACGTGCGTGGAAAATCATCTCGGCTATGAACTGGTGCGTAGCGAACCATGTTTCTCTGTCTCCACCCAGGCGGAGAGGTTGTCCGAGGCCGTTGTTGGCCACGTGAGGACACATGTCGGTGTAGATGTTTAAGTGTCGGCAGTTTTGGAGGAGGTTGGTGTTAAACTCTTTGGGAAGATCGTAGACGTAGACGGTGAAGTTTTGGTCGCACGTGCGCGGGGGTGATGAGGCTTCAAATGTTGTTGTTTGTGGTGGAGAAGTTAAAGGGAATAGGAGAATTAAGAAGGTGAGACAAATGGAGCAGAAGAGAAGGAGTGTTGGAATAGTTAACTTAAGGGTTTCTCTGTTTTTAGAGTATTTTTTCTCTTTCTCATCCTTGTCTGGCCATAGATCGATCTTGACATGCTTCTTACTGTACGACATAGCACTTGGAGAGAGGGGCGAGGAAGAGTTGAGGTGGAAATGAGGAAGTAGAAGTGATATATTGAAAGAAAATAAGAACGTTACTTTGACGGTGGAACATGTAATCCGGGATGATTATATTAATTGATGAATGATATAGGACAAATACTTGACATTTGTATGCTGTCCTGCATTATTCACGGAAATAATGTGCTTGGCCGTATGTGTTAAATTAATAATAGTGAAATTATGGAACAGTCTAATTTAATAATTTAATAGAGAAAATAGGGGGAATAAATTTCACGCAGTTATTGTGGAAAGCCAACATTTTTGTTTACAATTGAGTATTCTTAGTTATATTTTGTCTTTACTTTCCCAAATACACAAAATTTTGGTAAATGTTCTACAAAGTATAAAATCACTAATAGATTTCCAAATAGTATGTGTTATCGTGGCAATTACCGATTTTTTTACAAGCAACTGATAAGAAAGTTTACCAAAAAAGGTTTGCTGGGTGTCAAAACTCTAGAAACACAAATGGTTGTTGACTTAGAGAAGTACAAAGAAATGCAAATTGTAATAATTTAAAGGGCACTACATCGTAAACTATCTAAATTCTTACAATAAAAGGGTTAGATCGTATGATTAAGAGTTTAGTAATAATAATAAACTGAGAAACGAATATTGCTGATGAGATACCATGTGCTAAATGTTACATTATGGTCATTGTTTCAATCCATAAACGTTTTAAATGTTACAAATGGACTGGACTTGTGGATTCGAGGTTTCCAAGAAAATTATAATTTTAAAATACTGCATGCATTTAAATACTGCGCAGAATGTACATTCAATATACAAACATTTTATGTATACAAATACTTATTTTACATTTTTAATATTATAAAATAATAAATAATAAATATATATAAGAATAATTGAAAATCAAATAACTATTACATATATACTTATAATTTGTAAATAAACGGTTTCGTACTTAATAAATACTGTTACATGTTAAAACTAAAATTTCAGAACATCGACTGTAATTTGATTCACGATATAATCAAATAATATTTCTATTAGCCCATTTGTAACAATTTGTTTTTATCAAAGTGAAAATAAATATGATTACGTAAGAATCAATTTTTTTCTAAATTATTAGGGAAACAATTCGTGTCTTATGTGTATTTAACAAATCTGAAATATGTCTAGAATCTTTTGCTGGATTAACCTTCCAAAGAAAAGCATATGTTCATAGATATATTACTTTTGAGTTTTCGCTTGCACATATATATATAAGTCTAGAAATATAATTTGACAGCTATGCACATATATGTTTAATTGGGAAGAAAACTAACATGTTAATCGAGAAATGTTACCAGATGTTATTTATTGAACACATATCGTATACTATTGTCAATATGTTGTGTAGCTGTCGTAGATGTTATTTCTTTGTATGTTATACTTTCAACGATAATGTAACTCGTTCATTTACAAATAAATAGATTTGTGACAGATGTTTTGTAAAAAAAACGATATTCATGTATTTAACAAAAACAGTTTGTACAGTATTAAAGCATATTACTTTGTTTAGTTAAAATAAACAATATTAATATTAAATTTTTAGGTGGTGTTATTCAATCATGTATTTTAAAAGAGTTTAAATCTAAACACAATCCACTATTATTCAATTGATGATTTTAAATTCTATTTTAAAATTCAGTGTTATTCATTCTATGATTGAATTTCAGGTTTTTCAAATCTGGTGTTATTCAACTTTTAATGATTTTAAAATTCTTTGTAATATAAATGGATTTCAAATCATCGTGATGGATTCTAATGAATAAATGATTAAACTCAAAATCCAAGGGGTATCGCAAGGATTTTAGAATCTATCGACTTTAACAATCTTAAAATTTAAAAATCTGATAGATTGTAACTTGATTTTAAATCACTAATTCAATAACACCCTTAATTCAGTGGTACAGCTGTAAATATTTGCAAAAAAGGGGATCTAAAAAAATCTTTTTTTTTTTATAATACAGTTATAATATACTTTTTAATATTGTTATATATTAAATAAAACTTTGTACCCATATGATTTTGTCATCCATAAATAAGAAAGTAATTTTCTTAATAGGTAGCGATATCAATCACATAAAGCCCATTTATGGGTCCAAATATTGAGGCCTGTAGAAATGTGAGGATTTTCTTAAATTTGAGAATGTTAATATGAGCCATTCAGAAGGACAGGTCGACATTTCCCAACATTAGGTAATTCAAGCTGATTCACATTATATATAATTTCATTTATCAAATTGTCTTGGTTGCTCATTTCGATAAATCATTGTCGTATTGATATTTACCTATACCGATATCAATACGACAAATGATCAAACCTGAATAACAAGACAATCAAAATGTTTCATCTAACTTCTTGTGCAAGTAAAACTCCTACACCTGAAATGTTTATTTCCTTTCACCTATTATATGGTATTGCTTTTTATTAAAAATAGGGCATTGTTTAATGAGAGTTCTTCTGTGTGTGTTTTTTGGTCAACTGTGTGTTCTTCTGTATGTTTCAGAAGAAACAAATGAGAGAGAATAAAAAACATTTGAGCTAATTAATGGTATACAGAGTACCATGGTTGCATGCGGCAAGGCTAGTATAGGTCTATTATATAGTAACTGTTTCAGATCTTCATATATCAAAAAGGAAAATCTCTTCTTTCCTATTTTCATATCATAGGTATAGGTATATAACATAAAATAATACTGTGATATTTGTATCTAGAACGCACATCACTGTTCCACGTTATTTTCATCAGTTTATTAACTTTATTTACATAGGTACCGCAAATGTAGGAACGCAAAATAAGGTATATGTATCGATTGTACTTGACTTAAGAAAAAAACGATTATATTGAACGGTTGGATGAAGGAGTATTTTAGAGGCGTATTTATGTATACACGTAACCTAGCTTATACTAGACTTCTACTCCTAGCTTCAGTAGGAGCAGAAAGATACAAAATTTCGAGTTACATCAATAAATAGTTTTTACTAACATGATAACAACAACTCGATCTTTTACCTTTGAAGTCTAACTTACAAATATTTTATGAATAGTACATTTAAATGACTAAAATTTATTTGATACAATCCGTCACTAGAACTAAATATCAAGATCAAGTGCCCGAGACTGGAATTTTCTAAACAAGTTTCGAAGAGATTTTCCTAATTTTTTAAAGAGAGTTTCATAATTTTAAAGAGATTTTCATAATTTAATCAAGAAAACATAGACAATTAAACCTAAGCTCTTAACATTCGTACCCAAAAGGGCAAAAAGAGAGAAGAGCATGCTTAAAATGTAAATATTAAAATGAGAAAACAGATATTAAGGCAGCAACTTTAAACATTCTTCTGTTTCTTGGAGTGCACGATGGTCCAGCGTGTTTTGAATCGATGGCAGTGTAGATTGATTACTATTTAACAGTTAGCTGCAACATTTTTAGTGTAGTTCTGAGCCTATCACTAGACCCAAATCATACCTACTTCTATACATATTGCATCCGTGTATTCATCTATACGTGTTACAAATGTTTGTATGTATTCATCTATACATGTAGATGTGGTAGATGGCGGACGTAGAATCCCGAGATAAATCGGAAGAAAGGTACGGGACGAAAACGTTTTTGCTTGACGGATCTGTCTCTGCGTGTGTGCTTTTTGGCTCTAGCGATACGAAAGATTTGTAATTAGTTAAAGTTGTCTTTACATTGCTCTCTCTCTCTCTCTAAACCGTGACTTGTTCACATCTTTCGTTCGTGCTTCAGTTTTTAGCTTTCTATTTTCTTTTCTTTACTTTTCAGTTTCCATTGAAATGTTAATAATTTATATTGCCACAACAATTTTTAGGGCTGTAAAAGATATCCAGATCCAAAAAATAAACAAAGTCTGACCAAAAAAATAATACTAAATCAAACAGAAAATAGATTTGAACCCATCCAAACCAAAATATTCGGAATACCCAAAATATTTAAAAAACAATTATATATTTTAAATATATTAATTATCTATAAAATATCTAAACTACATAAATATTTAAAATTATCAAAATATGATATATATATATATATATATATTTGAAAATAACCAAAAATACACAAAACATAGGAAAATATCAAAATACCTACTTGTTCTCCACCCAAATATCCATATAAGACAAATTTAATGTTAATTTAAGCATCTAGCCTGATATTACTCAAATTGATAGGTTATATATTATCTTATTTTATATTTTGAGATTTTCAAGTATTTCTAGTTTTATTTTTTACACAGTTATAATGGGTGTCTGAACCCATTTGATTTAGTTCTTTCATTTAGCTTTTTTTTTAAAAAAAAAACTCTTAAATTTGATTAGTGATTTCATGTACCATTATTTAAAAGTTAAGTTTCATAAATTAATTCACAAAACTATAAATAATATAAAAGTTATCAATGACAGAGATATTAAAAACTAGTTAAACTAAATTAAAGTTCATGAATAAGATAAAAAAATGTATTAAACGTTATTTATTTACCTTTAGTAATTCAGGTACTTGTTTTTCTTTTCTTCTTTTTGTTATAATTACATTGATATCTATTAAATATCCACTGAAGAAAAAGAATTATAAAATCTTCGACATTTATTGGGAGAAAACTTGTGATATTTCCATGGAATCAGTCACAGCTGAAAAAATATAGAACATATTCAGTTTTAGTTTATATAGTTGGTCAATATACTTATGAGTTGACATAACCCTAGAGAATAAAATCATGAATCAACAGAAGATAAAACAATCAAATATATTCATTAGTAGGATCGGCCGAAGCTATATGAGAAAAATGTCCAATCAGGTCGGGCTACTGATAGACCGGTTTGGGTAAACATATATAGCGAGACAGATTTAAAATTTGGAGGCTGATGTGATACGTTCTATCTCAAATCATATCTAGATACAAAAACACATCCCATTCCTTGATTATCTAGATATGTTTTAATCAATGAGAAATTTGAAAAATCAATTAGGTGGCATCTCTCGAAATCTATTTATGATTATAGAGGATAGATGAGATGTTTTTTTTTCGATGTGCATTTCCATCTTATCGTGTCTGATCTACATGGAAGAAAATATCACCACTGAATTTAGTCACTTTCGTTAATTGGTATGTTTTCCCATTCATATTCCGGAAAATATGAAATAAGTTCACTCTCTCGAAATCATCATGTACAGTCCCAAAAGGGAGTCCATCATATTCCGAACATTTCTACAGTTATATTTATCAATATCATGGTATTACACGAGATGAATCAATGGAGATAGACATCAGTAAAAACTGTTTCTGCTAGAAACCAATAGAACTATGTTATTATGCAAGTTGTCAATTAGCCTAAAACAACAAGGACCAGTCTAGTACTACAATACAAAAATACTGAATAGTAGCACATTTGTTTCATAAATGATTTTGGACTTTTTGCACATCTGATCATAATTCATAAACCATCTGAGATCGTATTATCGTATCTCACATGGCGGACTACGTACGTTACAATATATGATCACCACATATATACTTACATATCTAGACCGTGTAGTAACACTTCTTTAATTTCCACACACACACATATATATATATATGTGTACATGTGTATCTATAATTCAATATATACTACAAATACGTAAAGACAAAGAGTGATTCGTACCCATCACACGTTGCTTCGTACGTAGAGACCCATCTCTGTTGTTACTTACATATGCTTCTTCAAATAGTTGTCCGTACACTTAAACAATGCTAGCTAACCCATGACATCACAAACCAATTAAAACATGTTATCTCGAGGCTTGACCCAATTTTTTTGTTTGGCAGATCAAGTTAGAGATTCGGCCACACCTCACCTATCTCTTTCTCACGCTCACACACTCTATATGTAATTATAATGTCTTCAAACGAGACCAGGTACGTACACTATCGATGTGCTGTCCAATTTTCATTATTTTTTTCGTATACACAGTTTGCTCATACTTTACTATCGCCTGAATCTGATCCCTTCAGGGTTTGCAAAAAGTCCTTTTTGTCAATTGCAAGAAATGCATAATAAATATTAATGATATAAATAATAATTTGTACAAACTCTGCAAAACTCAATTTTTTGTGAAGCTATATTCGTATCATTGTTATTTTATATATTGGCACTGACTCAACCAGTATAACTAAAAGTACTAAATATTCTTGACATATCCGAACACAGTTTTTCACCATATAAACATCTTCAACACAATGATAATTTACGTTATGCTAGTAATACATAAATTGGTTGATTATATAGCAAATAATCAAATAAAAAATCTGAGTTACTTTTTTTTAGAAACGAAGCATATATATATATATATATAATATTTAAATGGATGTAGTAGTTAATAGAAACTAGAGTGTAGAAAATGCAAAAGGGAAGTTTTCCTAGTTAGGGGAATTCAGCTGGCGTCTAACGGCTCCATCTGGATCTAGTTACTTCCTGCTTTATATATTTTGAACAAAAAAAAAAAGTTATATTATATATAAGCAAATGGATCATCCTTTTGTATTTTTATTTCGAACAAACCAACCACCAAAACCCACAAACAATTCCCTCCAATCCCCAATTCCCATAGCTAGCTAGGTTCAGGGCAGTAGCTGAGAGTTGTAGATGAGCGCAGATAAAGGCTGTTCCAATCTCACTACACAATGTATCATATGTTAAGAACACAATCTTTCTCTCTACTCTGTCTCTCTTTCTGACCCATTTGTCCGGTTGCTATGTCCTCTCGTTGTTATCTTTAAAATATATTGCAAAAGCTTTATTTTTCCTTAGATTAATCACTTCCCTTGTGTATCCATAAATGGAAACATTGTTAAATGTTCACCTTTTTAATTCTATCCAATAGGTTACTCCCCCCATAATGGTCCCTCTCTTTTTCGAGCTTGTTAATAAGATTTAACATTATTTGGCGATTCGTTATAATAAATTTGCTTATTTTTATTCACTTCACACTAAAATGTAGCATAACATAAATATAATGTTAGGTTTCAATAATTGATATTAGAAAAAAGTGGCCGAGATTATTTAGATCCTAATATCGTTATTTCAACTTAAGAGAAGAACAAGAACGAACGGGCCATTGGCTGACAACACATGTAGGATCCGTGGCGTTTAGACAATTCGAGAACCCTACTTTCTCGACGACCAAACAAAATAAGAGAACAAGAAATACCCAAAAAGAAGAAAATATATAAAAGAAAAGCAGGAGCAGGAGCAGATGAAACATGTTAAAACTTAGAGCGAGTGATGATCTTGAAACCGGTTAATGGGCTGCCGAAGAGAGTGATCCAAACGCTGCCGTGAAGCGTCCCCATCACGAACTTGTGCCGGTTCCAGCGGCGGCGCACGGACTAAGGCGGAGCCACGGTTAGCAAAACCGGCCTGATCAATGGGTTCACCGACGCAAGTGTAGCTTGATTCCACAGGACCACCAGCCATGTAATTAACGGTTGCTGTGGTGTGAAGGTTAGGGTTTGGAGAGATGCTTCTGTTGCCTCGATAGGATTGGCTGAAGTAGTAATCGTTGATGTTGTTGTAAGGCGAGTATTGGTTTGAAGAGTATGGATATGGTGGTTGAAGCGGTTGAGGAACCATGTTTGTTGAGGAGCTTCCGGTATATAGCATCGGTGATGAGTAAACCGACCGGTATATTGTTGGATCAGAGGTTTGATATCTGCCAATAATTCCAATTATACTTGCATTATTCATTATAATCAAGTACATTTGAGTAATATTTTTTATTTCATAATTAGAAGTTTTATGATGAAGAGAGAGTACCCGAAAGGTGCAATTGCTGGTGGGGTTAAGGTATCGTTACGGTAGACCAATTGACGAGCTTGATTCAATGTCTCGGTCTCCCTCTCTTTTAAGTTTTTAGAACCAAAATTAGAAACGAAAAAAGACAACAAGTTGTACTCAAAGCATGTATAAAACAACAATTATCAACCAAAAACGAAATTTATGAGAACTGTTTTTTTTTTTTTTTGCACGAATATGAAAAGTGGATTATATGAAGGTTAAATAGACATGCCTTGTCGGTGGCGATTCATGTGGCCACCAAGAGCTTGGGATTTGCAGAACTTAAGTGAACAAAATCGACATTCGTACACCTTCCCGCTCTCATCTTTCCCTTCTTTACTACCTTTCTTCTTTCTTTGACCTAATTAGCAACAAAACATCACACGCCTTAAATATATAATTCCACCAACACACAAGTCATTTGGTTTCCACGTGTAATCCAAACCTTTACCATTAGACACAATCATATCAATATGTTTATATTTCCCTTAATTATTTTTTGCTTGTTAATGATATATATCTACATATTACACATGTATATAACGCTGAAGTAATTAGTTTTTCTTTTGACAAAAAAGTAATTAGGGTTTTCCGAGGTAAAAGCATACCAGAGGAAGAACCTTCCTCCAGGGTTTGCTTATTGCCATCTCTAGAAAAATCATCTGGCAGATTGTTGAGGTCTAAGTAATTATCCTCATTCCTCCTGCCAAGAAAACTCAATAAAGAGAGTGTGAGTTTAAAGATTAAGAAAATGGAAGATATAATTAAGAAAGTGGTTTTGTGGGGCATATACATAGTGGGAAATGAGAGATTGGCGTGAGATAAGACTTCTCTCGAAGAGCTATAATAACTGAGAATATATATTATAGGGGACTTTCAGTTGGAGGCTGCACCACAAAAGGAAGAGAAAATCGTAGAGTAGTGAAAGTTAAAGAAGAGAGGTTTGAAAGTTTTCTTTCAGTTTATCTGCCACAGATCCTCTCGTCTCTCTCTCTCTCTCTCTTTTCTCCCTCAGCGTCTAAACATAGTGGGTCTTGTGACCTTAAAAAGATAGAGGTAGTGTGGGCTTAAAGGGTTTTAACTAAACCAGAGTGAAAGTGTTTTTGTTTGTGGTTTGCGTTTGTGTTTGTGTGTGTGTGATGAAAGAGAGAGATGAGAGGGACATTTCCTGAGTGAAAGGAGATGCTAGGGCTACTAGCCTAGAAGAACCCTATTACTGTGCAATTAATTCATGTTAAAAAAAAAGACAAACTCGTAATATTTTTGAAAGTTTTTTTAAGAAATCAATGGTTTTGGACCCTCTCTGTGTATATATCTTCATACTGAAATAAAAAAATAGACTACATTTCAACATGTTAATTAGTAAATCATCACATTCGTAAATTTATTATTTTCGTTTGTTTCTAATTAAAGATCTTATGGACTTCCAAGTGTACTTAAATTCTCTAGGTCGAAGATCAGAGAAAGTTATAATACTCCTCAAAATTACACACATCATGGATGGAAGTAACTCTAATTAAGTGTAAGTTACGTTACTCATGTTATAACTAACTAAAAGTATGATAATTACGTTTAATATAATACAAAGCGTCTTGATAGAAACAAGCTAGTACTTTGTCAACAATGAATTAAATGCGGAAAGCCACATCTAGCGAATCATTGTCTCTTGATAAAAAAGCTTTCATGAATAATTTGTAGCTTCAAGATGGTCCTTGATGGACTTGTGATCCTCACTTAAACACACAGAGGAAAGAACAAGTAACTAAAAGAGAATAGATTTTATACTTTTAAGGACAATCCGAGACATGGCTGTCTCTATGGTCCTGCTGCTTTGAACATTACGTTTTGAGAAGTTTTACAATAAATATTTGTATAGCAAATATAAATGTAAGAAAAATAGTTAGCTAGTAATGGTCCCCCACTTATAGATGTAATGTAATGGCGATAGGCCTCTCCTGGGGCATCGGCATCCACATCAAAAAAAATTCAAATTGTTTTTTGTACCCTAGGGTTTTGCAAATGGGACATGCAAGTGTTGCTATCACATAAGTGATTATTAGGATCCTTTGTGATCTAACTTTGGATATGCATGTCCTCTACTACACATCCTTTCCTTTTTGTTCCTAAATATTACATGCTTAATCTTCTTATGATCGTAAGATTAGTGTAAGATCTAGCTATAACACTGTCCTTGAGAAGAATACCTAATGATGTTCCCAGTTACGGAGGCGTGCGAGTCGCGTGCCAAGTGGTTCGAACGTCAAAACTGCAAAAACTCGATAAAGGTATGCTCTCGTGCCGACCTACACGAAATAAAAACAAAGTTGTCAACAAAGTCAAGCCTAACACACCGTTATTTCACGGCGTTATGTTTATCCAATACAGTGAATGGTGGCAGGCCAAAATCACGACAGAGTAAATATATTGGTGGCTACTGACTAGTGTCGACTATGATTTGTTTTACTTTGATGAACAATCAAAGTAACATAACGCCGTGATTTACTTTTTTTCCACTTGATTTTATCATGAGACATCTAACAACAAAAAGAATTTGCAGTTAACAAATGTGTAAATCGAACAAAAACTAAACTAGTTTAGAGAAGTCTAGTGGTGGAAGGATTAATATATATTGGCATTATGGAACCAGAGTTTGAATCGCTCAACTATAATTTTACGTACGAACGGCAATCATTAAAGTACTAAATAGCAAGAAATGCCGAGGATTAATATGGATTTTGGTTTCGTGTCAAAAGACAAATGTTACGTCGGTATAACATACATGAATTTGTATAGAGTACAATTATTATTTTTTGTATAGAGTACAAATTTGAGTCAGGATCTGTTTAATTAATATGTTAATGATGGGGCACAAAAGATATCGAGTATCTTATTCATATTGAGGATGTGCATACTACTTATGAGTGGGAACAGAACCAAAAAAAAAAGCATGAGTGAGTGAGTGATGAGGAGAGAGAAAGGATCAGGTGAGGGAAGGACCACACTACTACTCCAAGACTGTCACGGCTAGTAAGCTAGGACTTGCAATCTCACCCTCTTCATGTAACACCTGCAACTCTCTTTCGGACAATCATACTTTTTACTCCTTTCTCTTACGTGGTCCTCCCCTCCCTCCCCCCCCCCCCCTTTTCTTTTCAATTGTTTTTACCTTTTTCCTTTTACATGTTTCTTCTCTCTGTTAAACATGGTCTAGCCAACAATCAAAAAATGGGTTTAAGTAAAATTCTGAACTGAAATGCGAAATAGAATGAATCTGTGTATTTGGTCTTATAGACCATAGAGTAGTAATATGTAATCACCGTAAAATAAATAAAAATTGTGTAAATTATGTGAAGAATAACCATAGTGCTTACCATCAGCAGTATTCCAATAATAATATCGTAATAACTCAGAAAGAAACGAAAACATTACAAAAAATCATCATGAACAAAAGAGGGAAATTTCAACTTTACCACAAGTTTGAAATTGTTTTATTTCGCCACTTAGAAATTTTTAGGAGATCTCAGCAAATTTACGCTTAATTTAGATTTATATTTTATTTTCACTTGAATTGTTTCCAATGTACTTATTTCTTTTAGTCACTCATCAAAGCATGAATATGTACATTTGATAAGTGTACATTTATAGGCTACAAGTACCTTAGATGATTTAATTCCAGTTTCCATAATATTTGACTACAATATATATATATAACTAAATTTCTATGTTACAGATTTGATAATTTTCATATAAATATCACTATTATAACTCTCTAAATGTTTTAAATTAATATTCTAGAAACGTTTATACACTAGAAATTGTTTAAATTGAATTTGTATCAAAGAATCCTAATTTTACCATTGATCCAAAATTAACTTTGATTTAAAATCAAATTTGATCTCAATACTCCCTTTCTCGGTCCTCCCCTTCCCTCTTCCCCATTCGCCTCTCCTAAACTTAATTTTTTCAACTTTCAGGATCCTGATCAAAATAACTAAAACTAGTCATTTAGTAGTGATTCTGTAAAGATTTATGCATACATATGTAAGATTTGATCCTCTCTGTTCGTAGCATTGTTACTATATAATTTAACATTTTTATGTTTTTCACACATCTGAAATAATTGAGCGACAACCAACTGTGCCTTAAACCTATCAGTGATTCCATCTAATGCTATGTATAACTCGATTCTTCTCTTTACAAAGCGAGACGAACCTCATTGATTTCAAAACATATCCCAAATTGCATTGTTTATACGTGTCGAACCTCATTGATTTCAAAACATAATTCCGAGTTGCACTGATTTTTTTACAACACTTTCTAATTCACTAACACTTTTTTTGCTTTATCTTCTCAACTCGGCCTCTTGAACTTTGCTAATTATTAAGCTTCTAACAAACGGAAAATTAATGTTATCAATTCCAATATACCGAATACAAAATCAATATTAAAAACTAGATGAAACTATACTAATAAAGTGGAACATGCTCTTTTTCTGCTTACATGATCAAATGGTTTACAAAAAAATTACACAGCATCATATTTTTCTAAAATTTATTAGTACTCTACATCTCTATTTCTTATTATTATTGAGCTAAATATATTAGTATTTCATCTAATAATCCGTAAATAATTTTATAATAAATTGAACATTTTAAACTAAAGAAATTTTCACATCAATCCATTAAAAATGACTATAAATATTGATACAATCCACAAAAAATATAAAATTGAAACTAGAAAAACCAACGTCGGATTGGTCCCGTGGTAAAAGAAGTGCTAGTAACCGTCTGCTGCTTGGGTTTGATCCACATTGAAAATTTTATTTACAAGGTTTGGGTTTAAAAAAAAAAAAAACTAAAAGAGAATATGCATAGAAATTAAAATAATGAAAATCTTCTGACGTTTATGTAAGTTGGTTACACATACCACCAAAAACATAATACAAAATTTAGACAAAATCAATATTACAATTAAAATCAGGTCAACGAATTAATATTTTAAATAATAAAGCCAACGATTTCAATAAAGAAAATATAACATGTTATAGCGTTATATAGTTATAACATCTTATAGCGTTATATATCTTACCAAAAAAATATGGAAAAACGACAATATAACATGAAATCATACATCATCATCATATATTAAAACTGTAAAATGGTCAATGTAGTATTATATGTGAAACTGGAAGAAAGAAATTTATAAAAGAACCAACTACAATGAAGTAATAATTATGGCCACAGTTGACAAAAAAAAAAAAAAAAACAATTATGACCACATGAGTAAACTAGACCTCA